TCAGCGCCGCACCGGGGGCCTCTCCTTGCTAAAGGGAGAGGTGGTCGGCCAGACCGAGACACTGGCAAGCAGCGTGGCGAGAACCAGGGAGTGGCCGGCATTCGCGCGAGAGCGCACGTGAACGTCCTAGCCGCCATCGTCGTCGTCGTCGTCGTTGTCGTGGTCGTCGTCGTCGTCGTCGTCGTCATCGTCGTCGTCGTCGTCGTGGTCCTGGTCGTGGTCCTGGTCGTGGTCGTGGTCGTGGTCGTCGTGGCCGTCGTCGTCGTGGTCGTGATCGTCGTGGTCGTCGTGGTCGTCGTGGTGGTCATGGTGGTCGTGGTGGTGTGGTGGTGGTGGTGGTCGTCGTCGTCGTCTTCTTCGTCGTTGTTGTCCTGGTCGTGGTCGTGGCCGTGGTCGTGATCGTGGTCGTCGTGGCCGTCGTCGTCGTGGTCGTGGTCGTCGTGGTCGTCCTGGTCGTCGTGGTGGTCATGGTGGTCGTGGTGGTCGTGGCGGTCGTGGTGATGGTGATAGTGATGGTGATGGTAATGGTGATGGTGATAGTGACGGTGGTGGTGGTGGTGGTGGTAGCCTTCGTCGTCGTCGTCTTCGTCTTCGTCGTCGTCGTCGTCGGGTGCTTTGGGCGCTCCGATACACATTGAGTTAGTTACACTTGTGACGTTATGCACCCTGGGGGGTCCGAAGACACATTGGGATGTACCGAAAAGGTATACGTGACGTGGCACAGCCACCACTGACAGAATGCCTGCTGGTATCCGGCGTTCGGCCACGTGGCGGCGTCAAGAGAAAACCTTTTCCAGCCTGCAGTGGTAGTAGTAGTAGTAGTAGTAGTAGTAGTAGTAGTAGTAGTAGTAGTAGTAGTAGTAGTAGTAGTAGTAGTAGCAGTAATAGAAGTAGTAGTAGTAGTAGTAGTAGTAGTAGTAGTAGTAGGAGGAGTAGTAGTAGTAGTAGCAGTAGTAGTAGTAGTAGTAGTAGTACTAGTGGTAGTAGTAGTGATAGTAGTAGCAGCAGCAACAGTAGTAGTAGTAGTAGTAGTCGAAGTAAAAAAAGAAAGAAAAAAGTAGCAGTAATAGTAGTAGTAGTAGTAGTCGTAGTAGTAGTAGTACTAGTGGTAGTAGTAGCTGTTGTTGTTGTAGTAGTAGTAGTAGTAGTAGTAGTAGTAGTAGTAGTAGTAGTAGGAGTAGTAGCAGTAGTAGTAGTAGTCGAAGTAGTAGTAGTAGTAGGAGTAGGAGTAGGAGTAGGAGTCAAGCTAGCCAGCTCGAGCGAGTCAAGCATGGCATGCCCAGTCCCACCCGCCCTCCCACAACATAAGAAGCAAAGCTGGCACAACTGGGGGCCGAAGTCACACCGGCCAGCCGGTTTGGTACAGCTGATGCGGCCGCGATGGCGGTTGCCGACGGGAACTGGCGAGCGCGTGTTGAATGCCGCGCACGCATTGCCAGACGAGTCGAGAATGGCCCGGTACACCGCAGGAAGCCAGAGGTGGCCGGAGGAAGCCCGACGGTCTGACAGGACACCCCAAAGCATTTTTGTGAAAAAGCATTGGGTTTTTGATGTTTTTATGTTGAAATGCTTGCAAACACACGGTGTTCGGTAGGATTCTGACATGAACGCGCGAGTGTGCTCTTTGTGGTATTTTTTGCACAGGATTCGCGGCCTGGGTGCATGACAGAGCATCGCGAGTGCACCGCGCGATGACGTGAAATCGCTGGATTTGACCGAATTCTTAAGATTCCTATGGTTTTCCTATGATTTCAGCAAGAGAGCCCGGGCGGGAAATTTGTACAATTTTTGTGAAAAAGCATTGGGTTTTTGATGTTTTTATGTTGAAATGCTTGCAAACACAAGGTGTTCGGTAGGATTCTGACATGAACGCGCGCGTGTGCTCTTTGTGGTATTTTTTGCAATGGATTATCGCCGTGGACGACAGGACGTCCATGTCGAGAGGAAAAAATAAGAAAATGTTGATTTTGTATTGTTTTTTACAGGTTAGGATGGGACCCCCGGATGCGGCCCCTATCTGCCGGCCTGAGGGGGGAGTAGGAGTATATTCTAATAAGGAATAAGGATAGGAGTAGGAGTAGGAGTAGTAGTAGTAGTAGTAGTAGTAGTAGTAGTAGTAGTAGTAGTAGTAGTAGTAGTAGTAGTAGTAGTAGTAGTAGTAGTAGTAGTAGTAGTAGTAGTAGTAGTAGTAGTAGTAGTAGTAGTAGTAGTAGTAGTAGTAGTAGTAGTAGTAGTAGTAGTAGTAGTAGTAGTAGTAGTAGAAGCGTAGTAGCAGCAGCAGCAGCAGCAGGAGTAGTAGTAGTAGTAGTAGTAGTAGTAGTAGTAGTAGTAGTAGTAGTAGTAGTAGTAGTAGTAGTAGTAGTAGTAGTAGTAGTAGTAGTAGTAAGTAGTAGTAAGTAGTAGTAAGTAGTAGTAGTAGTAGGTAGTAGTAGTAGTAGTAGTAGTAGTAGTAGTAGTAGTAGTAGTAGTAGTCAGTAGCAGTAGTAGTAGTAGTAAGCGT